GGGGAGGTTGTTTGGCTTAAGTTCTTCCAGGGTTTTCAGCAATTCCAAGCAGATAAACACATCATTGATCTGCACTGTTACCTGCTGTGGTCCGACCCCAGGACCCAGGTCTCTCAGAGCTAGAAGAGTTTATATTCACATCTGACAGGGAGCTGGAGCTCTACAATCTGCTTCAGGCTACGTGTCAGCAGCTGGAGCTGAGAGGAAATCAGCTGATGAACTTTATGTCAGGAGGAAAAACAGCTTTGGCATAACCTTCACAGAGAATTCCTGTCTCAGGGGGTTTGGCACTTTAAAGAATTATTATTTTATAAAGTTCAACCATCTCTAATATCCAGGATTGTTTCCGTGTCCTGAAGTACAGCAAACATCTGCTGCACAACACTGAAGGTGACAGAGCACTTGTATTCCAAGTGACTAGAATAAACTTGATTCAAATCACAGAATCCCTGAATGGTCTGGGTGGGAAGGGACCTTAAAGCTCCTCTCGTTCCACCCCCCTGCCATAGACAGGGACACCTTCCTGGAGGATAAAAACACCAACATCCACGTTTGCATTTTCACCACTCAAGTGAGACAAGCAGCACGAGAGAAGCTACAAAAATGACACCGCTTTGGATTCAGCCTCACAGCCTCGGGGTGTCTGGCACGCTCCTCGCCGAGCCCACAGCCCGTCTGCACAAACCCACCGCGTCAGACAGCGCAGAGCGCCAGGCACGGCTCGGAATCACTGCCGGAGCTTCCTTCCATCCCCCGGGAGCGCAGCCCCCAGCCCGGGCCGACTTCCCGAGCACATTCCCAGCACAACGTCCCAGGCCATCCTTGCACCGCCGCCGCAGCGCCCGCAGCCACTGGCACTGCTGTGGGAAGGATCCCCAGGATCTGGCAGGGCACGGCAGCAGCAGGAGCAGGTTACATAGCTAAGGGAGGAGGGTTTGGGGTGTTTGCCTGGAAGGCTGTGATTTGGGCAGTTGTAGCAGCCGGAGCTGCTGCAGCAGGAGCGGAGGGATAGAGAGAGAGAAGGATGGGAGATCCAGGGCGTTCCATCATCCCGGGGCCCCGCTGCCCCACACCGGACCCCGACGCGGCTCTGCACGATCAAAACCCGAGTTTGACTTTAAAAGAGAAAAAAAAAACAAACCCCAAACTAAGCAATACGAGGCGATTTTCGCTGTGCAACAGGGAAGCCCCCGCGGTGCGCCCCCCCCTCCCAGCAGCCCCTGCCCGGCGCCCTGGCCCCGGTACCTGTAGTAGCTGAGCAGT